GTATTTTTTTGCGGGGAAAGTGGGAATGTACCCTCCCCCCCACACACACACCGATCCCCCTCTAAAAATCGTTGGGTGTAGTATCCCTTTAATTTTAGCATAAATTCCTCATGTACAGTAAAACTCGCATAAGTCGACACTTTTGGTACCAGCGTATTTGTGCCGACTTACGAAAATGACGACATACGCGTAAGTCTAATTTTGTCGACTTATATGTAAGTCGCCCAAATGACCACTTATACGCGTATATCGTCTTTTTTTGATTTACAAAGCCGGTATTTCGACGACTTGGAGAGTGTCAAGCTGATATTTCGCCAGGCTTTATATCTACATGAACTACTTTTGCGACGCGACGCGACTGTTTCTATGCGAGCTGAAAAAAACAATGCGAATGAAACAATCAGTGCACACAGCAACAACTCATGTAAACTGAGTTGCGCGATCTACAGGCGATCGTCGGTGTGCCGTGTGTGAAGCGCATATCTTCGACAGCCAGCTCGCGCATCCCCTAGACCGTACACTGCGCCATCGGCATTTATGTTGATGACTTTCAGATGGGAAATTACCGTTGTTTGTATTACATGGGACCTTACTGTCCTTACCTGTCAGTACGACCTAGACATACGGACCTAGACCTTATCTGTCTGAAGGCGATGACTTGCACATAATGACGGCTTATAAATTACGTCTTATAGGCGGGGCTATTCCAATGGATTTACTATGAGAGAAAATTGGGACTTTGACTTCCATGATGCCTTATGCGAATTGACGAGTTGGACGATGACGACTTATGCGATCGAGTTTTACTGTATTAAGGAAAACACTTGATACTTTTCTCAATGCGTTTCTTGCCTGTGCGATTCAAAATTTATTGCCGCTGTGCATGCCATAACAGCTAGTGTATGGTACACACATGGGCACGGCAGCCGTTATGACACTTACAGGTCATGTAAGTTGCCCACTTACGTATTGTATTGAAACTCATCAAGGGCAAGCATCCAGCACACCTGACAACATTATAGGAGAGGTGACAAACGGAGCACCAGCTTTGTTATATTACCTTGTTTAATCGTGTTGATGTAGAATGATGAATAGAGAAAGAGTCCTTAAATAGAACAATCATCTTAATGCTTATGGAAGTTAATGCTTTATGGATTTTTTTTTTCTTATTGCAGATTCGGAATGAGAAATGATTTGACCAATATGAAGTCAAGCATTCAAACTTGCTGTAACCAGCTTGATGGCCATGGTGTTTACAGTGATGATGGGAGTATTAGCATGAAACAACTAGGTCATGAAGGCCTAACTCAACCAACGCCAATAGATAAGCTATTCATGGCCAACTCAAGCGAGACATAGTTAGTTCAGTGACATATTTAATTTTGCCAAAAACTGTAAAAACTGCAAAAACTGTGCCCGATTGCCCTCAATAGCATTTCACTCGGTGAGAATTTACATAACATTTGTAAATATATGTATGCTGTTTTACAAATGTATGTATGAACGGCGTTTTAGATTTATTAGTCCAGTGACTATTATGATTCTAATTAGTGAAAAGGATTATTGTTCAACATCGGAAACCATATATGGCACTATATATGCCAACATTGTATTTTTTCTAGCCCTTGTATAAATAATTTCTGCTTAATTGTAAAAACTGTAAATCTTAATTAGTGTGACCTACGTACGCGTGTGTGTGTGTGTGTGTGTGTGTGTGTGTGTGTGTGTGTGTGTGTGTGTGCGTGGGTGCGTGCGTGCGTGCGTGTAATAATCGGGAGCACATGATATAGAAAGAGTATGAGTCGCTCGAAACATGAAAATTACATTAGACGTAGGCCTACCTTTGTATATCCAAATTGTTCACACATTTACATTTTCAATTTTCTATCTATGCCTATTCATATTTTGGAAATATAGTTTCGAAGGTCATTCATATATCTAGGCGTGGGAGTGGAACATTTTAATTATATGGGAATTGGGAAATACGTATACCTGATGAATTTTTCGTGATTCGGGAATAAAAGTCAACCGATGCACGGGAATGGTGAAATTACTGGTTTATTTAGCCGGAAACTGCGAAATGGTATATTTTTCACCTAGGAACTTGTAAATGTACCCCACTCCCAAGAGTACAGTCGCATGTTTTTCTAATTCCTAACGGTGCTGTCATGATGAATTTATCCGTTATAATCCGTAATAAATCTAGCTTACATTTTGCTTACTTTATGTTTTGTGTACATATCACGCGTGCGTTCCTTGTGACATTATTTGACAGCTTTGTCACTTTAGCTTGACATGTAGTCAAAAACGAAAGCATGAATGGTTGCGATGAAGTGCCTCGAATACCGGCAAAGTGAATGAATCCTAGCTTATAGGGTCTCGTGCAGTATTATTCTGCTGTCATTAGAAATCAAGTAAGTATACAAACAAATTAATATAGTCGTGATCTGTCGCGAGCGTGCCTACGAGTTATTGTCATGCGCCATTCGCTATAATGCGCTTACATGAGGATGATTTGTTTCCTAGCTTTCATGGCTCAAATTCTAAATATACGTATCGCAACCGGCCATGCGTGAGTGCGACCTAGTAAAAATACGGCATCATGTAGGTATTCATATTGATGGGGTACCGTTCACGCGGGTACACGCACGTACACACGGGTACACGGAGATACACGTACGTACACGCACGTGCACGCGGTAACACGCACTTACACTCAGGTACACGGAGATACACGCACGTAAACGCGGCTACACTCACGTGCACGCACGTACACGCGGGTACACGCACGTAGCCCCATGCTAAACTCGCAGTAGCTGATTTCGTAACGAAATCACTCACAGTAGCTGATTTCGTAACGAAATCACTCGCAGTAGCTGATTTCGTAACGAAATCACTCGCAGTAGCTGATTTCGTAACGAAATCACTCGCAGTAGCTGATTTCGTAACGTAAATGCACATCGCCAGTAGGCTGATTCGAGTACGAAATCACTCACATTAGCTGATTCGTAACGAATCACTCGCAGTGAGCTTGATTTCGTAACATAATCAGTCATGTGCTACACTGGGGCGCCCGGGGCCAGTGAGCATGTTCAAAAAAACGCAGTAGTATTTGTAGCAAATCACTCGCTACTTTTCGTACGATCTGAAGGTGTTCTAAAAATTCGTCAGTAGCTGATTTCGTAACGAAATCACTGTAAAACTTGATTTCGTTATAGAAAATCATTGATTTCGTAACATAATCAGTCATGCTACACTTGCGCCCCATAGTGGTATGTACTCATATAGTTATTGTTTGCAATCAAAGTGGTTTGTTTCAATTCCCCTACTCCTACACTTACCTTAGAACGATAGTAGATCCATACGCTCCTACGTAAGGAGCTGAGCTCCGTTGGGGTCAATAATTGTCACTAATCGCAACAATGATGTTTTCAGCTGATGCGCTACTTAGCTGTCGTATCCGCACAGTAGCCGATTGCACTGCGTCGACGCGGCAATTAATGCTGCTGCATACATGGTCGCGTCAGGCATCCACTGAGAGATTTTCACTGCTAATAGGCCAGTCAGAAAGCACAGCGAGAACGTCGGACTTCAAAATTCTGTCTTTCTCTGTTCTCCGTACAATAATTCTGGAGTGTAGTCTGCTTTTACGTTACTCGTTGGTTGTCTTTGCTCTCTGGCCGCGTTTGAACTGCAAAGACATGACGACTCACACTCGGGTATGTAACATGCGATATTTTTCCTTAATTATTCTTATTATTAAAATCTTTATTGCGTTGTGTTATGTGCATTTATGTACTGAAGACAGTCTTTTTCATAGATAAAAATCTGATAAATGCAATAGTGTCAGAAGTATTGTAGAAACTCCTGATAGTGTTGAGCAGTTAAAATAATTGAAAATAATGAATCAAAAATAAATTTCTGAGCTATAAGTACAGAACAGCGCTATAACGTACAACATGAATAAAAAATATATACAAAGCGACAGTAATTTTGTACATAGTAAAGTGATTAAAATACACTTTGACATCATTTCAACACTCATACGTACACCAATATATACACATTCACACACACACGCACGCACGCCCGCATACACACACAAACACGTGTATATATGTATGTATATATATAATAATATATATATATATATATATATCAGAATGCATCATAATAGATTCATTGTTTCTCACTATCTGGTATATATCAATATTGTTAATATTGTATTTTTAACAGTTTTTTTTAAATGTGCGAAGTGATTATGTCAGTTTTTTTGTCCTAGTCTCTTTTTTTATGGCTATTGGTCGTCATTCATTGGTTTATAGCCTCCGTAAGTGAAATTGTGTCTATACATATGATTTGTTGTTATTTGTTTTAAATTTTAGTGTCGTTTAATTTAGTGTGATATTTTGTCAGTACGGTAAGGGATTATTCTGCCGGCTTTGTTAAGGTGGTGGATGTACTAATTTTGTATATAAATATAATAAGTGTGTATTTAAATCTGGTATTCAAATTGGAAGGACTTTGACTGTTCTCTAATTCTAGTAGCTGCTCCTGCCTGTCATATAATGACTGTACGCGTTTTCGTGGAATAATCTTTTATTAATGTGTAGAGGCATAATCTTTTAGTGTGTTAGTCCTATCAGAAGCTAATTTTGGGAGATTTATAAGCAGTGTAGATCCATATATGAGGTGCGGCAGGCAGAGTGACGAGTATACACTGGCCGTAGCTAGGGGGGGGGCCACAAGGGGCCACTGGCCCACCCTGTGATTGCAGCAAAAAAATAATATTTGCCGCTTGCCTCTTACGCGTCTCACAGGACTGGCCACAATTCCTCACATTTCTAAAATGACTCAGCCACGATTCTCTGGCTCTATTCTCCTTTTTCGTTGAACAGGAGTAGTGAATACATTAATGTCAACAGAAATCCTCAAAATATTCTTGCAAAATCGACGAGAAAAGACGACTTTGGAATTGGAGATTTATGCAGCAGAAAAAACATGACTAAAAGAAAGGAGATAATTCTTCTTTGCTCAGATTTGTTGCAAGTTGGCTTTGATGTGAAATTTTAATGGTTCTGATTCTTATTGACCAGAACGAAAAAAAATGGAAAGCTTCGTGAATAACTTGATATAATCGAACTTAAATAGCCCGGCATTTTGGAATCCACCTGGGTTTTTATCTCAATCCCATTTCCAACACTATTTTAAGTAACTGTTCTCATATTAGAGGAGGCAAAAACAATTCTTTTCATGGTAAATTTGGTTTTTATTTTAATAGAGGCGCTATTTTGCAGCGCACCTTTTGTTTTATTTGAAATCAAATTCGCAATATGATTTTAGTTTTTATCAGAGGAAATCAAAAAACATATTTTTATAACGAACAAAATGTAAATGTGATCTTTAACGCTATTGTATTCTAACGATGTAAATCTTTTGTATTTAAATAAATGCATTTTATTCAGTGGCAGTTCCAACACATTTACCTGTTTTCCCCGTAGATCTTTATTTCGATTTCATTCAATATGCCTCTAGCTTTTCAAAAAATAAATTTAACTTTAACTTTCATATGAGGAACTTGAAACAGTTTATGACGGATAAATGCAAGCATTGCATGGTACTAGCTAACAACACAAATCAAACTAATTCCAATATTCCGTCAGTGCTTGAATGAGAAATGAGCGCTAGCTAAGGGGGGTAACAAGAGGCCCATGACCCCCTCTTGATCGGAGAGTACAAAAATTAAGAGAGAAGGGCCCTGAAGGGATCGTCTAATACCACTATTACCTACACCTAAATAATGAAACATGAAATGCCGCAAAAACCATTTTGATGGCACATATTTGTATACACATGTTGGAACACCCTCCCGCCGTTGAAAATAGCTTATCACTGTCTTTGGTCGCTTAACTCTTTTCTTCCCTCCCTGAAAAACAGCTGGCTTCGTACACGCATATTTCACTGGTCTATGCTAAGGGTCCACCAACTGGTCGTGTGTAACCTCAGAGCCTTCCGGCGCAACAGGCCAGGGGCCATCGTCCCCACGTTGATCGGACGGATGAAAAAAATAAAAAGCCGAGGGAGGGGGGTTATAAGGGATTACCATATGCACTTCTCATATAGTTACCTAATACTGAATTTAGTGTGCAGAAAATGCGATTTCATGCACGAATTTCATTTCTTGCTGTTACGCCACTGGAGTATATTTGCAGCTTTCTTGTGTGTAGTTGTCGCCCGTATCTGTCTGATGAATCTAATGCTTTTACTAAGTGGGGCATAAGATGTACTTCACGTATCACACAGTCATTATAATGATTATAACGTCAAACATTTGTAATAGATATAATGCGTTTGTTCTTCCGACTACACACTTCATATTTATGCCATGCATCTATTTAACATATACTGTATATCTTATTAACTAACCCCCATGTAGTGTGGATCGAACAAGTAACTGTGTAGTTTAGAGTACATCATACTGTATTAAGTCCTGTGGTTGGTGTTGCTGCTAAAAGTTGTTATTCCGTGGAATTTTAATCGTCGACATCCACCACGCATGGCAAGGTCGTGTGCGCCGTGCGTTAAAAAGTTGGCTCGTGGTACTCAAAAATAATTGTTTTTACCGGCAATAAAGTTTATTGGCTTTTTAAATTAACCGCGGATAAATTATTGTTAAGCGCGGTTAAATTAATGGCCCGTATTACTCAATCAGAGGCCTTGTTACAACAATTAAGCCCGCCTGTAACAAATAGTTCAACCGGCGTTAAATTATGTTTAAGCACGCCTCGGGGGGTAAAAGGGCTTAATTTTACCGCGGTTACATTATGGTCATACTTTTACCTAAATCAGAGGCCTTGGTTACACAAATTAACCGTGGATAAATAATTTAGCGCGTAGAAATAATTTAACACTTGGAAAATATTGCCATTTACCCCAATCAGGGCAATGTTCCGCAATTTAACACCGCAGTTGAATTATTTTTTACCGCAGAAAAAATATGTGCAACAAGGTCTCTGAATTGTGAAACGGCCACAATTTAACCGCGGTTGAATTATCTAACCGCGTTAAAAATACAATTATGTTCTGAGTACGATGCCAACCATATGCGTTCGCTTAATAAGAAATGGTAGTAATTTAAGCCTGGCGCATGAAAGATACCGCCTGGTAAACACAAATGTTTTACTACAAAGTGCTTGATGTTTCCTCAACATTCTTTTGCCG